TCTCGCGATTTTCTCGAACGGTGGCTCCGCTACGCTAATAACTTAACTGCTACTTCGCCGCGCGACGCCCGCGGGGTTACACGCGTAGGTTTTTCGAGGCGTATGCAAATTTCTCACCCCTCTCCCGCGCGAGTGCGTTTTTGCCGTGCGTTTATGTAAATCGACTCCTCGGGCGTGTTTATGGCAAAATTTTCTCCCGATGCGCGATAAAGACCGACGACGAGCCGCCGCGCCAAAGGTTACCGGAGCGGTCTCCTTCTCTGGGGAATATTACAAGGTGTTAAAATCGTTGCGTTTCCGTCGTACGCACACGCAGCCGAGCATCGTACGTCACTCCGATTGCGGCTGAGAATGTCGTAACTGCTGACGTTATCGAGAAAAAAAGGGTTTCTTGCACCATTCTCTTCCGATGGATACCGGTAATTAAATGCGACTTTTTGTACTTTAGGAAACAATTCTGAACGGTTAATAATACGTTGCGTCTACTCGGCGCAAGTGTTTGTTACATGACGACATGCCAGGAACACACACGTACGCGCGCGCGCACACACACACACACACGTAGTGGAACGTCGGTCGCTCGCGAGCGTATAAATAAAACGCTCGGAGATTCTCGTACTCGCCGCCTCGCGGAGTTACGGTAATTATTTTAATCAATGCCGTAATAAGGATGTTGCAGACAAGCATCGCACGCATACACACACACACACACGGACAATTGTTCCTTACATTTAACGAACTGCACGAGGAGACCTCTCTCCCTCCCTCACCCCCTTCAATGTGCGTGCACGCGTGCGTGTGCGTCACGCTTTATGAACGTATCGCTAACTCACGCTCGCGCACACACGGGGCGGCTTTGATGCGCGAGCAAAGTTATGAATGAGTCGGCGAGGAGGGAAGACCCCGGGCGCGAGCTCAGCGCGAGATAGCGTAATGTGCGTATCGTGGTTACGCGTGTAACTATCATGAGAGTTATCTATCGTATAATATCTGGTCGCGCTGCTCGCAGCTGCAATCATGTGAATCATGTGAACATTGGAGCGACGAACGCTACTCGCACTCGTCGTATCGAAGTAACGCGACGGAAGAGTTACAAGTCGCGCCCCGTCGTCCTCTTTGTCGCCATTGTTGCGTCGCTTGTCTTCGTCGTAATCGCCATCGTGTCGCGTGCTTCCTGCGCGCATCGCACGGCAGGGCTCGCGACAATGCACCTGCAGTTTCTGCATCGCCGGCGCATTTTGCATAAGCACCTTGGCACTTTGCGGTCGCAGCTCTTCGCTGCGAGCGAGTAACGTGGAGCAATTATCCGCGGCTCGAGACACCGAGGAGACTCCTCTCCGGGAGTGCATGCACTTTCCCTCCGAGGAAGGGCTGCATGCGCCTCATGTCGGAGTCGTTGAACCGGCGAAAGTGGCAACGGCAGAAGAGGAAGAGAGGACGAGGAGCGAGAGAAGAGCAGCAGCCCGGCGGAGGAGCCACCTTGTGCTCTCCCTCGGAGAGAGAGAGAGAAAGAGAGAGAGAGAGAGAGAGAGCCTGTTCTGTCGGGCTCTCTTCTTCTCTGCCCTTTCTGTTCTCCTCTCGCCCTCCCCTCCCTTCCCTCGGGCGCACACGAGTGCATCGATAATCTCTCTGGCGACGGTGGTTCCCTTTGCGGGAAAACGCGCGAGGGGATGAAAAGACAGGCGCGCAGACTGGCGGTAGGGGTAGGGCGGCTGACGCGACGACGATGCTCTGTTGCTATCAAAAACAAGGAAAGCCTTTGTCGTCGGCCTCCGCGTGCGGCAAGGGCAGGAACGCGACGTATAATGGGGCACGTGTTCGGCCGCGCTGCGCTAATGACACGGTTTCGCGGAGCTCTCGATGCCGAGCCGCATTGTCCCCGCGAACTCTTTTATGCCCGCCGCCTCTCCTCCTCCTCCTTCTCCTCCTCCTCCTCCTCCTCCTCCTCCTCCTCCTCCTCCTCCTCCTCCTCCTCCTCCTCCTCCTTCTCCACGATCTCCTCTCTTCCTTCTCACTCGTCGTTTTCGCGGCATTGTAGGCGCGTGTACATGCGCATATGTGCATTCGCCGGCGAGCCTGCTGACTCGGGCCTCTCTCTCTCTCTCTCTCTCTCTCTCTCTCTCTCTCTCTCTCTCTCTCTCTCTCTTTTCCGTTTCTCTCGACGCGTGTCCGCCTCTCCCATGCGAGTCGCACGGGAACAATAGCCGCCCTGCGATTGTCCGAGAAAACTGCTAACGATATCGAACGTCCAAGGCCGATGAGGTGTATTTGTTTATTTGTGCGCGCAATTTATTCGTCGAGTCACTCTCGGCCGTCGATTAGATTCTCGTCAATGACTACGTTCTCATTTGATGAGGAAACCTTCCTCGTAATTCACTCCATGTTTCCTTATGCCTAATCGTGTAAGACAGACTCTGTGTGTACGCGGAAAGGAAAGTTATTGTCACGTTCAGCGAGAGAGAGAGAGAGAGAGAGAGAGAGAGAGAGAGAGAGAGAGAGAGAGAGAGATGCCGGTCGAGTCTTCCACGTGGAAGAGATTCTCGCTTGCGTCAGATATGCAAAATGCATGCAGAACTGATGCATTCGAGATCATCGTGTCCTTCTGGTCAGTCGGCTCGCCTCTATCTAATCAGGCGCGTTCGCAGGACTTCCCAGACTACACATTCCGCTCATGGCGAAGGGTAACAGAAATGATAGGCTTGTTTGGCACTGCTCGCAACTGGCTGCGCTTCGCGCGCTACTTCCATTTTCTTCTTTTCTCCAACAAGTCCCAGCTGCTTTTTCTCAACTTCCGATGCATGTTCCATACAAACTCAGCAGCGAACGGACCTGACGTTGCAAACGTCGGACCAGAGAAGTCCGGCAATCGCTTTCGCGTGCTGCTCGCGACGTTTCGAGCGCGATTTCTAGTCTTCGCAGCCTTCGACGATTAGCATATACTTTTTCGGCGGGCGGGACGCGTTTGAGGCATCGCGTGAAAAATCGAATGCATCCGTTCCTTCTCGCACCTACTTCGCCTTATTCGGACACGTCGGCGTGTTCTCGTGCGCATAGAGAAAGAGAGAGAGAGAGAGAGAGAGGGAGCGTGTGTTCGTCCGCCCGTCTGTCCATCCATGGGCGCTACGCACTGTACGCGTCTTTTATCCCGGCGTGTGCGTGTGCGCGCAGGGAAATCGTGGAGAAGACTTGTGCACACACACACACACACACACACACGCACACGCGCATACACACACGTGCTCGGCGGCGGCTTCCCGCGCGAGCAGGTAGAGATGCGGGGCGCATAATGGGCATACTTGAATGGAGGAAAAAGCGGCCCACATCGGCCCTAACGAGCTCTGAATTCGTATGTCGCGGTCGCACACGGCGCGATGTAACGGCGATGTAAAAGCAGCGCAACGGCCGCGGCGTAAATCGCGCGCAGCCGAGCCGTTCGTGCAATTAGCGCCGTCGTTGCGGCGCGGCGCGGCGGCTCGCGCGCGTTCATCTCGCCAGGATGAATCGATGAGCGCGCGAGGACGATATTTTCACCGGCATTGTCCGTGCCGTGCGACGTTGATTTGAATTTCTTCGCAATCGCCATATCATGCTTCTGGGGTATATCGAGACGACCCGCGTGTGGAATGTTTCGTTTGTTGGAATTTCTCGACTCCGTCGGCGGCGGAGATGGAGACAGGTGCACGCTGCTTTTCCGTCGGAAACGTGACGACATCGCGCGTAAGCGTCCTTAGACCCGCGATTAAGAAGATCATTAGGGAGAAAAAGAGATCATCTATTTGACATTAGAAGAAGAGGAAGAGAGAGAGAGAGAGAGAGAGAGAGAGAGAGAGAGAGAGAGAGAGAGAGAGAGAGAGAGAGAGAGACACGTGTATATTGTGAGGACAGATACGTGTAGAACGAGACAGAGCGACGCGATTACGTAAGGCGCATTGATGAATGAATAATTGCCGGGAGTTCCGGCTGGCGCGGAAACAGTGCTCATAATTATGAGTCGTGTTTCCCACATCGTTCCGGCGCGAGTTAAGTGCCCGTTGTCTCGCTCGCTCACGTTGCACGTACGTTGCGCTAATGCGCATTATAAATATTACGCCGCGTCGCGTATATGGGGATGTTCTAACGGCGGCTTTATTTGCATACATAGCGATATTTCAGCGCCCGCGCGAACGCGTTATCATCCTCTGCGTGCTCTTTCACGTCGCATCTCTTGAAGACATTTATGATAGACAGCGGTGCGCACGTCAGCGCACGGCGGAAAGGAAGCGATGGGAAATTCATAACGGTGCGTGCCTGAAACAAAGCGGAACATCACTTTTTTTCTCCACACTCCCCGTGTACTTGGTAACCGCTTGAATACGTGGGAGTTGGCGTGTCTTCGGCGTGTCAGCACCAGCTTATGGAAAGTAGGACCCGAGCGCGCGTGGTCTGCGGTCTTTAGCTATCAATGTAGCGGCGTTTGCGCTGAAATTGTAGCGAAAATTAGCGTCAGCCCCGTTTTGTAGCAATTCTTCGGAGGAGAACGTATCATGAAAGTTCTTCCCAGAGATCGGCCTCGGTGAACACGAAATGTGCTCTGTGTGCGTTTCACTTAATTGCTCTTCCTGTAGACAGCTGAATGCCGCGTTTCTTCGTTGTCCGGTGCAGACGTACGAGCGTCAAGACAGAAAGTACATCGAGAAAGAAAGTGTTTGGTATTTGCGGCTGCGATCGCATCGTGAAATAATTACAAATCGGCAGGATGAATTCGGTTACTGTGTGTGTGTGTGTGTGTGTGTGGTAATCAGCGGGCGGCGCGGCAGCTATTACGCGTACATTCATATGTACATGTGTTTGAATGATTATTTTCTCTTGGAACAATGAGAAGATACGTATCTGGCGCCGAAAGGAAACACAAATTTTCAGTGAGACTAACCACTTTTTCTCACAGTGTGCGTCTCACGCACAGCCATCACGTTAGATGATATTGGATTCTTTCATTCGGCGAACGTCTATTTTTGTTTCAGACACGCCTCTATCACCGATGGGGCCTTCGTCGCCGAGTCAGGAAGGTCTATTCACGGATCTTCGTCTTCTGTCCTTGGAGAAGCAGCTCAATATCGAACTGAAGGTGAGAGAGCGAGAGAGAGAGAGAGAGAGAGAGAGAGAGAGAGAGAGAGAGAGAGAGAGAGAGAGAGAGAGAGAGACACGTCGCTCTCGGCGCGAGCTCTCGCGAGCGTCGAAATCTCGCGCGTTTTCATGTCGCAAACAGGTTTCGATCAATTCCGCGAGCGCGAATGACTCTTGGCCGCGTTATCGCCCTGTTATCGTGAGATTTCTCGCGCCCGCGCGGAAAAGAGAGAAACTCTACTACAATCTCGAGGAAGCCCGATAACGTATGTCTTTATTAATGTAATTATCGATATTTCTCCTTAATGCTCGGGGAATAATCATCTCGCCGGGTAATCGCTCGGCGCTTTCCGGATGATTACTCACAACTTCGGTGGTTCTCTTTCACTTTTCTTGCGTATCAGTCTCGCGTGAGTCAGCGCAGTGAGTCGCACGCTCAGTTTTTCCCCCCTACTAAAAATAATCTCTCGTTACATCACGCATATACTCTAACACGTATACGTACACACGCACGAGCGTGTGGTCGCGAGAATCCAAAATAATTAGAGTAACGCGTTACGGGCATTGCAGTTATACATGTTAATGCAGAGCCATTAATCGCACGTAAATAATTGCCTCGCTTCCCTCCCTCCTTTCTTCCCTCGAGACGATCGTCGAGACGGATGTTTGACGCGCGTCGAGCGAGCGAGTGCGTCACGGAATGCACGGAAAGAAAAGTCCAACTCGTGTGTACCTGCTTTTCCGTAATCCAGGGACCAAAACGACGAAAACTCGCTCGTTGGAGCAGAAAGAGATTCTCACAATGGAGATATCTGCTCAATTGTTCTCGGTTATCTCGAACGAGCCTCAACGGCAGCATGATATGAAATCGGGCGAGTAACTTTCGGTCGCGGCAACAGAGACATTCGCCTCTCTGGTCGTCGAGTCTTTGTCCGCTCCGCATTCCGCTGCACGAGCTGCAATTGTTCTCTTATCTTTGCGCGATTGCATTGTATTACGAAAGATGGCCAAGAGCAATCTCGCGACGGGATGAATGGAGATAGAATTTTCCCTGATGAACCACCCTGATCCTTCTTTTTACGCGTGTTTACGGCAGGTCAAGCAGGGCGCTGAGAACATGATACAGAGCTTGACGAGCGGCCACCGCGACAAGAAGCTGCTGCAGGAGGCTCAACAGATGCTAGACGACTCCCGCGCCAAAATCGAGTTCCTACGGATGCGAATCATGAAGGTGCGCCAGGCACGGCAGCAGCAACACGCGCGGGGCGACGCGCCGCCGCCGAACGGCGAGGCAACTAGCAACAAAGGTACATGCGGTTTGTTGCTAACATTTTCCGCACGCGAAAGAAGCGGAGGGACGAACGCGCCGAGAGGGCAGGAGACTCCGTCCGATACTCGACTCGATAGGAAGAGCCGGAGAGGCGGAGTGAAATTTTACCTTTCAAAAGCGCGCTCCCCGGCGCGAGCAACACGGTCGGATTCTCTTTCCCCTTTCTGCACTTCTTTCCCCGTTTCTTTTGTATCTCGACGTCACGTCGATGCAATGGCGAATTTCCGAACGACTGGTTACCTCGCTGAACTCGCGCGATATCATCTGTGCCGTTGCACAGATAATGGAGACGTCGCTAAAAATATCGCGTTTATTTAACCGCTGATACGCGCGTCAGAGACCTCCTCTCTCTCTCTCTCTCTTTCTCTCGTTCTCTCTCCCTCTCTCTTCCTCTCTCTTCCTCTCATTCTCGCTCACTCTCTGTTAAACAGTCTCGGATGCGCGGCTATTGTAGCCGTCGACGTTCGCGTTCCGATTGTTCGCACACGGCCGCGCGGCGTTAAGCCGCCGCACGCGTCTCTCATTGTTACCCGTTTGAAGTTTACGTCGACGCGACGGCAGAGAGAAAGAGAAAGAGAGCTGACATTTACCGCGGCAATGAAACTGCCCCGGAACACGGCGTTGCACACGCTGCACCCGCGCGTATCTCCACCGCGGGGGAGTTTGAGCCGCATTGAGAGTGGCACAGGAAGCCGCGCAACAATGTTGCATAGCGCGCGCGCGAGCTCATCATCGAACGAATGGACGGTTTCTTAGAAGGAGACGCATTGTTCGCGGAAGAAGGATACGCTGGTTGTGCCGGCAGTATGCGGCGGTAACGGTTTACACTTTGCTGCGATGCGATGCGTGGGCGGCGCGTTACGCGCGTGTTACGCAAGGCGACAATCGTTTCTCTCGGAGCGGTCGGTCGATAAACGGCGACGGCGCGGCGTTCCCGGGGATAACGATTAGCCCCGTCGGCTCGGTGTATGCCGTTAATAAACGTAATAACGCTTTATAGATAGGTATGAGCCCAGCTTGGAGCTCGCGTTGGAGGAGCGGGTGGAGGAGCTGCGGCATCGATTGCGGATAGAGGCGGCCGTCGTGGAAGGTGCCAAGAACGTGATACGTCTTCTACAAAGTGCCAAAGTCGCTGATAAGAAGGCTCTAACTGAGGTAGGTGCTGCTGCTGCTGCTGCTGCTGTCGCTGTCGCTGTCGCAGTTTTTTCTCCTCTAATTGTCGCCGCTCGTCCGCGCGCGGAGGCGGAAGCGGCGACTTGTGTGACACGCAATCTCGAGAAGGTTCTTGTAAATGCGCAGCGAGCACACATATGAAAATGTATCTGTGTATATGCACACGTGTTGGCACGTGTGTGCTTCAGAGGGAGACTATTTACGTCACTTCTCTGACGGAGTGATTTCGAAACGGTAATAATGTTGTAATCGCGCGCGATCTCACCTCCTCGGGGGAAACTACAATGCGCGCGCTGGCGATTTCTGCGTCTCCGACGCGACTCCGAGCGTTCAGCGCAGGTAATGTCGCTCGAATACGAGAATATCCCGCTTGGGAGCGACGGAACATTCTTATCGTCCAGCGCGCTATTTCCGTAAAGAAAATCCGCTGGCGTATCGGTGACGGCTGGTCGATTTTCGCGCGACGGCCTTTAATTTTCTCGCGAGCGTCAGCGAAATCTCGGCGAGGAGAAGTCATGTTTCTCGGATGTGCGCCGCGCCGGTACGAAAAAGATTCCTCGTACACCCGGACCGCGGCGTCGGGGCGACGGTCGGCGTAGAGAGAGAGAGAGAGAGAGAGAGAGAGAGAGAGAGAGAGAGAGAGAGAGAGAGAGAGAGAGGAGGGGAGAGAGCAGCACGACGACGACGTGTACGCGCCTCTCTGAAAATAGCTCTCCCAATTTCCCGCTGCCCCGCCGTCTCTCGTGACGCCTTTTCGGGTCGCGCTTAGTTACCATCTCTCGAGGGGAACTGGCATCATCCAGTCGTCGTAAGCACCGCGATAAACCAACGACATGTGCACCGGCCGATCGCGAAGGAGGCGCTCGTGGAATGTGCACGCCCGTCAAGTGGATACCCAGGAAGATATCGACCCCGCGTCCGGATAATCGCAGCCATTAATTATGATCTGAACACCCGAAGACTGACGCGAAGCCGCCCACAGCCTCGTTGGACGTTCCTCTCTTTCTCGCTCTCCTCTCCCTCCCTCTCTCTCTCTCTCTCTCTCTCTCTCTCTCTCTCTCTCTCTCTCTCTCTCTCTCTCTCTCTCTGTTTCTATCTGTCTCTTCCTGCCTCTTCCCCTCGTCGCGAAACGCTGCGCTCCACGAAAACTGACGTCTGTTTCAGAATCGATTTAAGTTGTCAAGACACCCTCGTGAACCACCCTTCGTTCACCCCTTGAGAACGGAAGTTCCGGTCTTGCTTGTTGCGTGTCGTGACGCGTGCAAATTTTTTTTAAAGCCAATTTGCCAGCCCCGGCAGAGCGAGCTCCACGAGCTAAGCGGGGCTCCATATAGGTGACCGAATCGCCGGCGTTTCTTTCCGCCCCGAGACTGAGAGAGTAGTTTCCGGGGTGATCGATGGCGAAGCTGACTTTCGTCAAACATGTCGCGCACTTGCCGTGCTTTGGCCTGAGCTAAGCTAGACTGGGCTGGGCTGGGCTGAGCTGAGCTGGCTTGTCGGTCTGGCTGCGCCAATTCATCGTGATTATTGCGCGCGATCGTCGCTGCGTCGGCGGGAGTCGCAAAAGTGCCGCCTTCCAGACGTATTCTTAGTACGCGCAAACTGTACCAAGCTCCAAATTTATATTGTGCTAATTATACGCATCGTGTGGTCGCTCTATACCGCTCAGTTTGTTGCCTTTGCGAGAGGGAGTACCGCTCGCACGGTGGTGGTGCGGTTGCGACAATCGCGGAAGTATTGTGCAATACGCGACGACGTGCGCGAATGATTATAGAGCGATGGTCGCCGAGCGACGAAACTGCGGCCATGCGAGGAGAGAAAGAGAGTGGTTGAGCGTGTGATGAGAGCGGAGGGAGGAGAAAAGAGAAGAGAAGAGAAGAGAAACGACACGAAGAAGTAGCTGCGAGTCGAGCTCGCGGCGAGAACCCTCTTCGGGCATCCGCGTCGGGGCGAAAAGAAACGCGCTCTCGGACAGATCCTCGCGCGGCAAGGGAGCCGCGCACGGTTGAACCAACCGAAAATAGACGGTGGGTGCGATGCAATATCGCAGTATTGCCATCCTTCCGGGAAAAACTGCGCTACGGAGAACTGCTGAGGAAGAACGCGGCGCGCTCGCAAATAGACACGTTATTACATAAGATCGTGCTGGCTCTTCGCAACATCGCGAGGCGGTGCAAACGCGAGACGGATCAGATGAGCGAGCGCAGGTGTTGTTGTCGCACGTAGCAGCCGTCGCAAGGGACAGACTTTGTGTCTCCTCGCGGTGAGCGACCTCAAATCCATGAACAGAAGAAGAACCCGGACGGGAGCAGCGCATCATCGTCTCCTCCGGTCGGAGGAAGAGGAGAAGAAGAAGAAGGAGAAGAAGAAAAAGAAGCAGCAGCAGCGGGACGACGAGAGGACGCCGGAGGATGCGACCTCGTCGTGCCGGCGGCACCGTCGACTGAAGGACGACAATGCCCCGCGGTGGATGACGGCGCGTGCTGCTCGCTGGCCGAGATGTACGGACGTCAGGGTGATTCGAGCGACGACGGCTCCCAGGTGCCGCCGTGGCTCGTGCGCGCCGAAGTCACGATCCGCCACGGCAACGCGGTGACCTCTGAGACCGTGCGACTGCCGTCAGGCACCAGCACCACCACCGACGCGGCTGGCATCCGCATGATATGCCGTTGGAACACGGGCGAGGCCAACTCGGCGGCTCCCACGCCGACGCCAACGGCACCGGCCGCGTCTTCGTCGTCGCTTGACGGCGCCAGCGGCGCCGGTGGCTTCGGCTTTCAGCGCGGAAATATACTCTTCACATCCACGCCGCCCGAGAGACCGCCTCAACGCACGCCCGCCGGCTCCTACATCCTGCCGCGGTCCGGCTCGTCGGGCAACGACGATTCCATCTCGTCGACGAGAGGCCGGGCGAACGTCTCCGACTCCGGTTACACCAGCGAGCAGTTCTCGCATCCGCTCTCGTATTCGAGCTTACCCTCGCGACGGCCGTCTCAGCAGTACAGTCGCAGGTGCAAGAGCACTTACAGCATCGTCCTGCAGTCCAACGCGGCTGGCGCTGCCGACAAGCAGCTCGACGCGAGCTCGAAGATTGCTACCTCGACCGCCAGGTCGCCGAGAACCTCGTCCGTCGACCCTTGGCATCGACGACCGGCGCACCATCAACACCAACAGCTGTTCCCGCGTTATCAATTCAGTGCGGTGCCGGAAGTGTGCGAGGACTGCGCGGAGGGCGGCGCCGCGTCGAGCGCCTTCACCACGCACTTCTGCACGCGGGTCGCGGAGAAGAGCGCGAACAGAGCCGCGGCTGTCGCCGCCGCCGCCACCACCGCCACGATCAGCAAAGACGCGGCCTCGCAAACCACCGACGTCGAGTCCGTGCGCTCTTCGTCGACCGTGTCGAAGAGCGGTAAAGTCAGGAGGAGGTCAGCCACCGGTGCCTACCGGTCGGACGAGAAGAAGAAAGAGGTAAGGAGGAGTCTCGTCGACCTTCGAAAGCGAAGAGCAGCACCTTAACACGTTGACTGCCATGGCGCTTGCCAGTGTCCGACATTGTCACATTGCCGTGTCTCATTAATTTATGGACGTTGAAACATAATCAAAGGAACGAATGATTGAAGATGCCCATGAGAATAATCAAGTGTTTGGGAATAAAATACACATTTCACGCTGAACTGCCGGAACGGTCCGGCAAGCGACCGCCTTGTAATTTCTTCAGAAAATTGCAGAAATTTTGCATTTTCTGATGTTTAATTTTAAGCGCATCTTTTTATCTTTAATTGACGTGGAATAAAACTAAGCGAAGTAAATAATTATTTTTCCCCCTGTATTATTTGTGTCTCGAGGATACGAATAGAAGAGTCGTGGGAACACTTGATTGTTTATGAGCACACAGGAAAGAAAATGCTGTTTTATCAATGGAGTTGATCAACATAGAAGTCAATCTTCTTGATTCAAGATCGGTGTTATGATGAACTGATACTCGAGCTGTGTTAAAACAATGTACAACGTATCGGTTTCAATGCTATCGCCATTGAGTCAAGAAGATTCACTTTAATCATGACGCTTTAATCATCAGTTCTATTGATGCTGAGCAGCGTCTTCTTTGACCTCTAATAAACGTACCGGCAACACGGAGCCAATGAAACGAGCATAATAAATATGCGCATCGTGAATTGCATTCATTTACTGCATCTTCGGCGACTGAAAAAGTCCAGCTGAGCGTTGAGACAATCGGCGGAGACGAACGTGGCGGTCAATCTGTTCGAATTGACGAGCGGCGAACGGCGGCGTCAGATTACAATCGTCTTCTTTCAGCAGGAGATCCGGTCGGCCCCGGCGTCAGCGGGCACCGCCGGTGGTTCCGTTGCTTCAGCTGATTCCGAGAAATCTGATTCGTCGGCGAGAGAAGACAGCAGCAAGCGCAAGTCGCGGACAGTGCACATTGACGTGTACTGCACAGGCTCGGACGACGACCTCAGCACGGGCTCGACCAGCGAGGACGAGCCCAGCACGCCGATGACCGTCTTCGAGAACGAGGACGTGAGGATCACTCACACCCAGGCGACGAACAACCTACCGCGCGGGTTTCAGGACGAGAACGCGTTCCTGAAGCGCAGCGCCGAACGACGATGCGCGAGTTTCCGCAACGCGCCGATGAGGATGCCCTCGTTGGCTAGCTCGAAGGGATACGACAGCGAAGTGTTGAGCTCGCTGTACCCGTCGCGGTTCAGCTCGTACAGCGCCATACGCGACCTCGACTCGGCGCCTTGGTCGGCGGCGTCGTCCAGCACGGCGGTCTCGTGCGACTCGACGACTATGACCTCGTCGAAGGACACGTTCTCGGACATGGAGTCCTTGATCAACAGCAAGTCGGGCTTGATGCCGTGCGAGAGCTTCGAGTACGCCAACTCCACGGACCGCGACAGGATGCGGCGGATGGACCTTGGCTCGAAGGCCGACAAGGAGAAGAGCAAGACCTGGCGGTCGCCGCAGGTCGAGCGCAGGCAGCTCTTGCGAAACAAGAAGATGAAGGAATACTTTGAGAAGCACGAGATCGGCTGGTCGTCCGCGGACAGCGCCGAAGAGTCCGACGAAAGCGGAGCGGTCGGCTGGAGCTTCGTGTCCGGCGACGACAGGCCGCGATTCGTTAAGAAAGACCCGGCCGCGGGTCGCAGGGGTCAAGTGGAAGAATCTAACGTGACTGATTTAGATGCGACAGCGCCGGCGCCGGCGCCGGCGCTGGTGGACAGAGACGCTCGAGAGAAGGAACGGCCGCGAACGGCCGAGGCGATGCATGCCGACGATCACGTTCTGTACTCGAACATTCTGCGCGATCGTATCGGTCCGTTCGGCTCGAAGAGTCCATCCCCTCTACCCTCGACCATACCTTCCCGCGTAACCTCGCCCTTCACCACCCCGCAAGGCGAACGGACCGATCACATCTTGAAGGCGTCGATGTTCGGCGCGGTGGTCAGCGCCTTCCGAAAGCCTGGCCATCACATCGGTCCCGCGAAGAATCCCGCGTGCTCATGCGAGCATTGCCGCAGGTTCTTCGAGCAGGAGGCGAGGGGACGCTCCTCTTCGTTGAGCGAACTTGAGCGTCACCCGGGCTTCAAGCTGCGGAAGGACTGACGTCTCGCCCGAACATTGATCTTCGCGAGCGCGTTCTTCTTCTTCTTCTAGATTTTACCGAACGTCTCTGCGAGTTGTGAAATTGCCGGGTGTTCTCGCACAAATCGAGCACGAACACGCGCGCCTCTTTTAGTTAGGCTCAATGCGTCATACTGATCGCGCTTTGCTCCTCGCGTTAATCGCGAAGAGGACACTGCGGAAACTCGTATATTGTGATTTGTGTGATTAATTTATATTTCTCCAAGTATTCCACGGTATACTGTATAACCTTTTCTATTCGAGTTCGTTGCCCACGAGCGAGCTCTCTGCGCTGCACATTCTGCTGGGAATTGAGCATTTATGAGAATTAACAATGATGTATTGTCGAGATTGCGCTGTTGTTAATAAATAAATAAATATCAATGATATACGCACTCGTCTATACTCGTCTGCACGTACTACGCAACCCCTTTGTGTGCTCGTATAATAGATAGTCGTAATGTTGCATTATTATATATGTATATTTCCGATGAATGTTTACATAAATTGTGTGTGGTGAATGACTGTAGGCTCAGGCAAGCCTCGCGGAATCCAGTAGAAAATTGGACTTACTGAGATTGTCCCTCGAACTCAGAAGGCAGGAGCTACCACCCGACAGCGGCACCGCGGCTCAATTAAAGAGGGAATTAGCTAGCGTGCAGTCAGCTAGTCCGGTTCCTGTGACTTACACATCACTGCAACCGTTCCGCGGCCCCTTGGAAGGTCGAGCTACAGTGCCAGCTTCGGTGTCGAGATGCGCCGCTGTCACTGGACAACTAGAGGTACGACAGTGAGGGGAGGATGTACGATAGAAAAATCCATAATGTACGTTACTCTCTGTCTGATTGTCTCTCTTTTTCTCCGTGCGAAAATGATTTCAGGTAAGATTAATGGGATGTCAAGACTTGGCAGAGGAAGTGCCTGGACGTACGAGAAGGGAGCATCCTGCTAGTCCTGATCTGCGTAGTTTCGTCAAGGGTGTCACAGGTCGCAGCTCGAGCAAGTCGTATAGTGTGAAGGACGAAACAAGCAGTAAGCAATGTCTTTGATATTTTTTCATATATATAAGCTTCTCTTGTTTTATATTTATATTTCTTTTTCCCCGTGATAATAATAGCGATAATTTTGAAAATATGTCGCTAATTGCAACTATTCGCTCCTTGCAGATGATATTATGGCGGTTATAAAATTGGATAACCAAACAGTAGCACAAACTAGTTGGCGCCCATGTTCTCAACAGGCTTGGGATCAAAGGTAATTGTTGATTGATCAAGATTAACGATATTATGAATAGCTTTCCTGCGTCGTTGACGCATCCAATGTGTGTTAATCCGATGCGTTGATTTGACTTGTCCAGGTTTTCTATCGAGCTCGACAAGTCGAGAGAACTCGAGATAGGCATTTACTGGAAGGATTGGAGGTCTCTTTGTGCGGTGAAATTTTTACGTTTAGAGGAATTCATCGACGACGTTCGTCACGGCATGGCGCTACAGTTGGAACCGCAAGGCCTCCTGTTCGCGGAGATCAAATTCCTGAATCCTATGATTTCGCGCAAGCCCAAGTTGCAGCGCCAACGCAAGATCTTCAAGCAGCAGGTGAAGAATTTCCCGAGGGCCAATCAGATGAACATAAACGTCGCGACTTGGGGCAGATTGCTCAAACGCTCCGCACCTTCGTTACACAATTCCAGGAATTCGGAGAGTCCGCCATCAGGTGAGACCATAGACATCTATATTACACTGGACTGCTAACTCCCGTGTTTCTAGAGATAATTTTGGACCTCGAAAATTATGTATTACATAGTGTGAGTAAACGTTTGCGCATGCGTAGTGTAAATAGTACAGAAGATATGTAAATGATGTGGCCGATATTCATTATATTTATGCGTATAAGAAATTGCATATGTATACATATATTACTTTTTTATTTTAACCGATCGGACATCAGTATTTTACCACTTACAGGACGCATACGCATGAGTTCAGTACATTGTTCTCAGAATCATGTATTTTATCCTAGTTGGCAGTCTAGTAATAAATAACATGGATGTTTGTGGGTGAGACTCAGTTTTTCGTTCGCGTATCACATGAATTTTGGTTGTCTTACACAGTTCCGTTTCCAGGACCACAACCGTTGCAGCTTGTATTTGATACCTCAATAGAAGATAAGCCTGAAACTCCCGGAGAAGTGCCTGATCCGGAGAAAGGTGGTCTCGGAGGCGCACGGCCTTTAGGAATGTCGACGTCGAGCAATAGTCCAATTTTGCCGCGTCCACCGGAACACCCGCCGCCCCCGCCGCCAACCGTTACGAAGAAACCATCTATACCCGCACCCGCACCACCTCCGAAACTGGATCAAGAAGTAAGTCCATTTGCGCATACGTTCATTTTTTGTACTATTGCTATATTTTAAGTTGAGAAAGTTCGATATATTGATAAGCGACAATATTATCTGTTATATACTATTTAGTGCGATATATGTATTTGTCGATCTCTGCTTTCGATATAAAGATGATCGCTGATATCGCAAGTTTGTATGATTTCCATAGCTGTTAAAAGTTTATGTCGTTCGTCAACTTTATTGTGCTGTTAATATGGTAATTTAATTACTTTTGTCTTATCTCTCTTGTACTTGTCGGATATTTGTTCTCTCTATATATATATTTTTTTTTAATTTTCTCTACAATAAGAATATTGTGTAGTAAAGTATACATTAGAGTCTTCAGGCTGGAGGGAGAATCCTGGTTGCGGGCCGAAATTAGTTTGTGTAAAATAAATTGTATGATACACTTTAGACGGATTTTTCTGAAAGGTTATAATTGAGCGGATGTACATACGTATACATTTTGACGCGGCATGTTATGAGGTATTATTATGTACTCGTCGTAATTATATATAAGAGATAGTAGTATTAGTTTAATTTGTGCACTTGCTTGTGAAAGGAACGATATCTTTTAGTTGTTACACACACATTTTTTATTGAGTGCAAATGTACGCAAGTTTCCTTTTATTTTCTGGCAGCTTATATATCATTGTGTCGATTATTTTGCGACGACTTCGATTTTATTCTCTTGCATACTCGATTGAAGCGTTACAGGTGTTTACGCTATCTTCCCACAATTTTCAAAGTAGCAAGCTGCAACTCCAAACTCCCTGTCGCGAAACAGACAAATGTATTTCCAAACGTAAATGACGTTAATTGCGTGTAGAGATTTACTCGTTCGATGTTCTAAAAATTCTGCACCGTCGTCGAGCCCGATCGAGCGTCAGAGCTAAGAAGATAGTAATGTAGTTACAGAGTGCATTAAGGGAGTTTGATTTTCTGCACAACGAGGAAAAGGGGGGGCCTCAGGGCGCAAATTTGAGGCCCCTTGTGACAGAGCCTCGGCCTGTGCTGATTGCACCACCCTCTCCACGCACACCCTCGCCCCAACCTGTGGTCGAGTTTCCTGAGGATGAGGTACATACCTCCACATACACACACACATACAGCATCGCTTCGCTTGCTTTTAGTATGTTGCGTGTAGATAGACTAGAGACCGTTGTGTAACTTCTTTCTGTAACTCTCTGATACTATTTTCTTTCTTTCTCTTTACACACTATATATATCCCTTTGTATCCTCGTATTAATCTCTTTGTTGGATCTCTAACCTATATATTGCGTATAATCTGACTTCTATTATTTTGCGACGTAGATATATCGAGCGGCAATCAATAAATAGCGTGGAAGAAGTACATAAGAATAATAGTTAGTGAAACAGCCGATGTAACAGCGCAACATAATCCGCCATTCTATACGGAAGACACATCCAAAGTGTCTTCTTTATTATGACATTAACATATTATTTGTTCGCATCTTCATATAATAATGTATACAGAAATTCTCTAACGTATCTAACTAATCATAATGATGCATTGAGTGTGTGATGCGTTTGTACATGTCATATCTAATATCAGATTATGAGGAACGATGCGTTGCAATCACCAGAGATTTCTGTCTTTTCAGGTTGTATACGAACTACCAGTGAGGCCTCTACAGTACAGGGACAGTGCCTACGAGTCGAGAAGGCACTCTCAGCTCACTGGCATGACTTTAGAGAACTTCAGGCTGCTTTCCGTGCTCGGTCGTGGACATTTCGGCAAAGTGATATTATCTCAATATAGAAACACGGGCGAATACTTCGCTATCAAGGCTCTGAAGAAGGGTGATATTATAGCTAGAGACGAAGTGGAATCCTTACTCTCTGAGAAGAGAATATTTGAAGTAGCAAACACAACGCGCCATCCTTTCCTCGTCAACTTGTTCGCGTGCTTTCAAACTGAGGTAACGATGACGATGAGATTTTTGATAGATTTACTTTCAAATGTAATTTACACGCAAGAAGAAGCTGCTGAAGGAGAAACATTTGCTCCTCCACACAGGCACACGTGTGTTTCGTGATGGAATACGCAGCTGGGGGTGATCTTATGATGCATATTCACGCTGACGTCTTCGGAGAGCCGCGCGCGGTGTTCTACTCTGCTTGTGTTGTGTTGGGACTGCAATATCTGCACGAAAATCGCATTATTTATAGGTACCATTAGGATATCAGTTTTTATCATAACACGCTTGACGTCAAGTGATTCGATTTGACGAATCATGTCGTCCTGTTTACAGAGACCTGAAGCTGGATAATCTTCTATTGGACACGGAAGGTTACGTTAAAATCGCGGACTTTGGTTTGTGCAAGGAAGGTATGGGATACGGAGACAGAACAGGTACTTTCTGCGGTACACCTGAATTCTTAGCGCCGGAGGTTCTGACGGAAACTTCTTATACAAGAGCTGTAGACTGGTGGGGTCTCGGAGTCTTGATATTCGAAATGCTCGTCGGAGAGGTAATTTTACTGCTCGTATAAAACGTCTCAAGTAGCGTTTTAATTGATGATCGAATATTAAACGCTAAACACAACGTTCCAGTCTCCCTTCCCAGGCGACGATGAAGAAGAAGTGTTCGACTCCATTGTGAATGACGAGGTCCGGTATCCACGATTCCTCTCTCTCGAGGCGATAGCGATCATGAGAAGGGTTAGTACTCTCCCTAATTTTTTATCTCTTTCTCGCGGCATACGTTTTACCCATGTGTCCTGTTACAGTTACTCAGAAAGAATCCCGACAGAAGGTTAGGTAGCAGCGAAAGAGACGCGGAAGACGTGAAGAAACAAGCGTTCTTCAGACACATTGCTTGGGACGACTTGCTTCTGAGGCGCGTGAAGCCACCCTTCGTGCCGGTAATCGTGAGTATCAATTTGACTTTATATCTGTACGCAATCTGAATGCGCGATAAATTGATCGTACATCAGCAAATCATGTCGACACATGAATTATGAATATTCGATTAGATTGGATATTGTGAACCGCATAATGCCAGTATTGAATGTGTGCTTGTGTTCTTTGTACAGCACTCTGTAGAGGATGTCAGCAATTTTGATGAAGAATTCACATCGGAGAAGCCGCAATTGACGCCTCCGAAAGATCCTCGTCCTCTCAGTGATGTGGAACAAGGTCTGTTTAAGGATTTCACTTATATGGCTGATTGGTGCTAGCCACAAAACGATCGACATCTCTCGGCGTTAACTTCTGCGGGCGGGAATATTAGCATGTCGTAATCGAAGGAAAATTTATTTCATATTACATGGAGAACACGCAATTGTGTCAATGCGCCGTATCTCTTTGTGCGCGTTTATCTGAGCAATATATACTATATATCATAACATGTATAGATTTTTTTATTTTTAATACTATATTAATACTCGCGTGAAAAAAAAAACATACAACACACACACACACATACATACACATACTAAAGAAAAAAATGCAAATTTATGAAAAATTCTTTTATCGAATCTCAGGCTTGTTACGAATATATAAGTTACGAGAAAGAAACGAATCGTCGGAATATGTGAATTTTTACAATTTCCGGTTCTCAGAGTCTGTAAATGATCTACAAGTTTTTGAAACAAATGGAATTAAAATGTCCCGAACAACTGTTGTGAGTAGGGATGAAAGCGATAGAACCTGTATCAATTTTTCTGAAAAAAAGTTTGCATAAATATGACAGTAATTTCAGATTATATATATATATATACAAAAATGATCTCGCTGACAATCGAAACATTGTTTTGTTGCTAATATCAAATTGGTACGGATAACTTTTTGCATGCAAAATGAATTATATTAAACATTTTGTTGTCTACGTACCACTGTTATATACGATAATGCATGCGATTACACGGAGATTATGTATCCTTGTAGAGCTTGAAGGATAATCGCGATGTAAAACGCGACAATGACGTTCGTGAGAAAGGCATAAGCTCAATCGAGAGTTAGATATGCTCATACTTACGTGATAAAAAAATTGAAATAATTGTACTGTGCTGTTTAACACTAACGGTCGACGCATTGCGGATAACATTAAGGTGCTTTAATTAGACTAATCATCTACTACGTCTACTACGATATGACAATTCAAACTTCGATCCATTCGTACAACCAACTCGTAAGATTGCATAACGCTCGACATGTGAATTCCACATTCATCTTCACATTCGGAGCAAGCGCGTGTTATCCCGCATACAAGAATCCTTCAAGTTCATGTATTATATGTTTTACTATACTTTGTCATTTAGTTATATGTACATTCATATCCTAGCTTACGATAAAGTATTTTTACTTGTTCATGTGCTCTGCTCCATATTATGTGTATATATAAACATATAACCAAATATGTCGAAAAAAATAACGGATATTTCTATATTTAATAACTTTGCTATTACTAGTGTATATATATATCATATCATATGATAGTATCGTGTTATGTCATGTCATTATATGATCATATCATATGACGGTATCATTTATGATTATATTATGATTATATTATCATATATGTGAAATATATATACATATATGTGTATATATATATATATATATATATACATATATATATATATATATATATACACACATATATATATACATACATATATATATATATATACATATATGTATATATATGTAGATCAATTTTAATTAAAACAAAGTAATATTGTAAGACAAGTCCGCATTTTATTACGAACGTACATGTCGAACACATGTTTTAAGATTTGGTTTTTACTCTTGTAGAAAATGATCTGAGAACCGTGTAAGTGTTGAGGTAGTAGTAGTTACGACTTTACTTGCGTGAAGCTTTTAGATTCAGTGGCAAAAAGGAATGATCGTTCAAAGTTCTACCGCGCGTTCTACCTTATTGGTGCGCAACTCTGACAGATAACATTAGACATCGGTGTTACGATCGCACACTATATGAAAGTTGCGTACTGGTAGATTTATGATGTAGGGTTCTTATTTTCCTCGTTACGTTTAAATTCCTTTTCAAAAGAACTGTATTTGGCTATTTGTAACCTTTAGATTAATGCTCCTTGTAATACTTTCATAGAACCGTTTCTTTACCAATGTTCTGTGTGTGTGTGTGTTTGTGTGCGTATATTGTAACTCTACTAGAAGTTGTAGGATTTCAATTGTTTATGAAACTTCTGCAGATACATGCAGATACAAACACAACCTACGCGTAATCTAAATAATACTTACGCTCATTTTCTGAAAGGTGCCTACATGTGGTCAAACGATTTTTGATAATATGCAATATAATTAGAAAACCCTTTGGATATTATCAAAATATGAATGTAATCCTATATTGTATATAATCTTTTCGATTTGTCATTTGTCGCTATATGTAAACTGGAATTGAATATTGAGTTGTGGACCGTACGAAAATACAGATAAAAAAAAAGAGTATCTCAAATAAAGCTTGGTAAATTTTGCAAGATGATTATGTATAAATTTAATTACTATTCCAGACTCGCGCGCACGCGCGTTCAACTATTCAAGACAATCGCGATGTTCTTCAACTGGTTTCTATTAATTATAGATTGATATCGCGTGAGATCTATCATATCAAATGAAACTTACCAAGTTTTATTTGCGACATTGTGCTGTTTTAACATTAACAAGGCGCTAGTATACATGTAATTACCAGAACTATTTGTGACATGTTTTACTATCAAGCATTATAATATGAAGTTAAACTGTATCACTAGTGATATAGATTCGAGTACCTCTCGAGCTCTAGTTGCCTTACTGCAATTATAAACTATATAATAGTCACTTTGGTATCTATTTTATACATAATTGATACGCATATATGCAGGAACGAGTATTTTAGATATTTCTAAAATACTTTCAGTCAGTCTTGGACACACTGGCAAGTAATTTGGAAGGTGCGGATAATAGCAGGATCTTTCACGTGCCTGTTTTATATATGGTTAATATACGTAAGTCCTTAAACTTAATATTTTTGATGATGAAACATACATATATTGTGTGATCCTGAAATGAAAAATATAAAATTTGCGCGAAAGGACGTTTGGTGATAAAACAGGCAGAGAAAAGTGCGGCACGGCGGCATTTATCGTGCATCGAACAATGTCGCATTGCGTAAGAGACACGAGTCTAATTCCCTTCAATGATATGGCAATTTGGAATGGAATATGAGGACCCCAAATTTAAATCAACTTTATATCGAAATTGTTTGTATATTTTGCAGACACAAGACCACTGTGTAGATGTCCACCGATGTGTTATTTTTTTATATCTTACACGGGTTAAATGTTCTACCGATACCATTCTTTTTAAGCTACTTTCAACTGCCAAAGTGTAATACTTTTGAAGACCTTGTAAACAATTTCATATGGTAAAAGTATTTTTATGTCGTGATAATACCATTTTGTATTTTGTGTTTTGAAGCGTATGTGTAACTCGATATAGTTAGAGAAGGTATCATGAGCAAATTATTTTACCACTGATATTACACGCAAGATCATTTTCACGATTTAGGATATATGGTGTGGTCTAAAGGAGAACGGCACGTTTTAAATATGTATATAATATATATAAAAATATCGCGTATGGTTTTTTTTTGTGTAGATAGACTTATTCTCTCTCTTAATTCATAGCAATCTTTATTAGGCGATTATTTCGTTAACTAGCCTTTTTTTTATATATATACATAATTATATAGCGTTATACTAAATATAAAAAATCTTGGTTAGAGAAAATATTCGCTATATATTTATCGTTAGTTTTATAATAAAAAAAATTATGTGCCTCGTATATTTTGTAGCATCTACTAATTAGTACACGAATAATGTGGTAGATGCAGACAGACTCTTGTAAGGATTAATTTATTTAATGCAGATATATTTGCAGTGGCAGCTTATTACATATCACTTTAAATAATTACGCAATCCTTCGAAGTATACTCGAAATTCATATTATATACGCATATATAAAAATTACTTTAAAAGAATAAAATTAAATATTGAAAAATATGTACTTTTGTTTCTAATACACATTTTTGCCACCCATATAGTTTATTATGAATCTTATTATAAACGAAATGATATCTATCACAGATATGTTAGAAGCTACTCTTGTATTTACAACGTGATATAATGTGAAAAAAAGTTTTTGCTTTTTTCCTCTTTTCCAACTGAAATGATATTTAAGAATCCATATTTTTTTATTCTGCACTGTTATCAATATCTATAAGTTTTACAGTGGAATCTGTATTAACAGATTCTCCAGAACTCTCTGACATATCATTGCAATTTTGATCCTTATTTTCGCAAAGACTTTTTGCCAACTCATATAAATGTGATGTATTTTTACGAATTTCTATCTCCAATTCATATTTCTTTTCTTCCTTTTCCTTTCGTTGTTTTGTTGTTTCAGGTGATGCTGGCTTTATGAGACCTTTAGTTACTGTGTAGCTGATACTACTACTATCTTCAGATTTGAAGATAAATGTTAATCTGTTGATAAATCAAAGTTTGCTTATAATGGGTACTATTACCAATTAATAACAATATATTGTTGGAACATAAGAAATATACATAACATATATTGTACATTACACATTTTAGTAGTAAAGTAAAAATTACCGTTCACTTTGTAACACATTTTGTATCTGCTCAATTTTACTAAGAGAAATGTTATATTTGCTTGCCCAAGGTATATAGATCTCCGATGGAGAATTTTGTTTCTTCTTAACTTCGAAATAGAATAGGTTAAGTTCCTCATTGTAATTGTATTTGACATCCCAAAAACATTTTACTGTAAATCATAAACATAAGAATTTCTATATTTATTCCATTATTCTACCATGACTTGAATATATTACCTTCACATAGCTCAATGTAAACATAAAAGGCAATACTGGTTTTTACTGCATCATTGCAGCCAAATTTGCATAGCTCATAATACTGAAAATATCAATAATTGCAAGGTAAAAAATCTCGTATAGATTGGCATAGTAGCTTTGATATAATATAATTAAGTTATTTATAGTTACTATATATATATATATATATATATACATAATTTTTGAATATTAACATAAAGCCGTTACAATGAAAGGTTACAACTTTGAAATATTGTTCTCACTTCTGTGAAAAATCTTCATAAATAATTTAATGATTATGTATATAATTAGGAAATTATAATAACTTAATTACAATACATATAGGAATATTGTGTCAGTTTGCGTACTCTGAATATTTATACTTTTTAAAGTTATACATGCAGTTTTGTCCAGCAAAATTTAAACTTATAGAAAGGAATGGTATAAATTAATATTTTATATAAATAAAATACTCGGAAGAATATTTAATAGAATAGTTACTCACTGCAGGATGACATATGTCATACATTCTGCTATAACTTCAAAGTATAAAAGCAGAAAACGTGACTTTTTAGCACTGCCAAAAGCAGCTGTGTTTCCTAAGGCACTTGTTTACACGAATTTGAGAAAAACATTTCTTATATATATGTAGCGCACAGTATAAATGGTATAAATATAGGCATAGACAGAAAGTAGTCTGAGAGTGATAATAGTAGCAATTTTTCTGCAATGCTCTTATGAGGTTCCTCAATTTCCATCTCATAGGTATGAACTACGTAGTCAATGTCTCTTTCTCAGTGGATAAGAGGTAATGTCCACCATTTTGTGGTTCTGTTCCGCGTTAAGTCCATGAGTGAGTTTCTATTCTCGTCGTACGAGAAGGCGGATGCTAGGAAACTAAAAAAATTTAAGTTTTAATTTGTAATTTCCCGGTGGAATTTCATGCTTACTTTTTGCTCCTTATACCAATCTCCTGATACAAAAAGATGAAAATGACTAAACTGGGAAAATTTAGAGATTTTTAAATTTCCCGTCAGAAAATCCGGATACCCCTTTGCTCATTATATTCTTCTATTACAAAATGCGAAAATCGAGAAACTGAGAAAAATTAATTTCCCGCCAAAAATTCCGGATACCCCTTCCACCATTATATTCTCTTGTTACAAAATGAGAAAATCGAGAACCTGAGGAAAGTTGAATTTCCCGTCATAAATTCCGGATACCTCTTCGCTCATTATATTCTCCAGGGTAGCGATCATAAGTCTTTCACGTGAATTTCTTCTTCATTTTTCACTTCGCACTGTAAATATTTTCACATGGAATGTGAATTGTAAAAAAGTGAAAAGTAATATTTCTGTAATATAAATAATTAACATATACATATAATTATAGTATATAAAATGTAAAGTATAACGTACTAATAAACATTATGCAGCCAAAATTTATAGTTGTAATGTAATATAATAATATAATGTATGTAAATATAATGACTGATTTAAACGTTAACCGTGAAATGTAAATTCTCAAAACGTGAAATATTTCATGTGAACTTTCAACTTGCTCATCTATGTCCTTCTTCACATGTAAGTTGTGTATTTCCATGAAAATTTTCAACTATCGAACGATGTGATTAAAACATGAAAAATTATACTATTCTTTCTAGTGACTTTAATCTCATTTAGTTATGCGATTGGTAAAAAAGGAACAACAAAGGACCATTGTTAACACGTGAAAGGGAACAGGGAACTATTAGATTTGCAACTGGTATACAGTAAGTAAAATACAAGTAAAGAAATTTATTTATATTTTTATGATTTTTATATCAATCCTATAAAACTAATATTTTTTCATATTTTACCTCGAAGTAAAAATATATTATTGTAATACATATTTTTAGATTAATTTAAATGTGTGATTGATAATAAAGTGTTAAAAATAATGATAGATCACACGTATTATTGTATGCTCATTTATAAATTATATAATATTAAGGATATTCGAAAGACATTCAGAGGATGTCTAATACCCGTATTCATAGCCCTTCCTTATCTTAAGGATAGAGGAAGCCTCGATGGATTCCTTGGATCTCCAAGGCCACCTTATTTCATAAATGGATCTCGAGTCTTCTTTCCAGAAGGAAGGAAGGAAGGAAGGAAGGAAGGAAGGAAGGAAGGAAGGAAGGAAGGAAGGAAGGAAGGAAGGAAGGAAGGAAGGAAGGAAGGAAGGAAGGAAGGAAGGAAGGAAGGAAGGAAGGAAGGAAGGAAGGAAGCAAGGAAGGAAAGAAGGAAGGAAGGAAGGAAGGAAGGAAGGAAAGCTACGTTCCGATATTCACTGTCAGTACCGAAACTCTATAATATACGTGACACGAGTTATAAATTTTTAGTAGCAGTGGATATCGGAACACAGCTATGTAACGGGAGAGCCGACTAATAACTCATCCCCGTTACTGCCGTGACGGCGACGACGATCGGTCGCCGGCACGAGGCGAGCCAAGAAGCCGAGCGACGGCGGCGCGGCCCCGCGGCTGGTAGCAAGAGCCGAAATTAAATTTCCCGCCAGAAATTCCAGACACCTCTTCGCTGATTATATTCTCCTGATATTAAAGTGTGGATTTCCGAAAAATGAAAATTACAATATTCCTAGTTTTAGCAAATTTTTACCAAATAAATATAATGAGCGAGGAAGTGGTTCGTTTGTAAAAGTATGTAGAGGAAGGAGGTTTCAACAAAAAAGGAGTATTATATAGGAATAATTTATTTTTTTATGAGTGTAGAATAAATTTAATATAATATTGTACAATAGATTACTATAAAATATAGACGAATATAAGATAATATATATAATATTAACATTTATATAATACTATACTACATAATGCAAAATATATGTTTTAAATATACGGAATATATTAACTATACATTACATGTATTTCCAAATCGTTTGTTTTAACATAACATAACATAATACAAAATAATGTAGTATAATGTATTATATTAATTAGTACTATTAATCAGAGCACTCGTGTGACTTCTGATAAGTAAAACAGTTACTGACGTAAGGTATGTGCCCACCGTCGGCATTCTGCCGCGAAGTCGGTACTGGCACGAGAGGTTCCAGGAATCAGACGCTGAGTGGCTACCATGTAAGGATCTGACATTACCTTCTGTTTCTTTCATCCTGTATCAATACTTGCACAATCAGCTTATAACGCCGTATTACTAATTTCTTTTCCTAAGCTGTGAATTAACACACATGTACTAATACACATTTTCATAAAATTATTGATTTTTTAATGCTTTTCTATAATATATAAAATTAAATTAAATATAATAAATAAAATATTTTCGAGAGAATGCGCGCGTTTGAAATATTTTTATATTTTTAAAGCCCAATAATATATATAAACTTACCACCTTACCTCAAAGGTAAAAAAATGAATACTCGCACATATTATATTAATAGGAATCATAAAATTTCATTTTGTGTATTTAATAAATATATATTTTCGTTTCACATATTTCATAATATAGATAAGCGTATTCTCACCTGAAATATTATATGTCTTATAGTTTCTTAAATTCAGCACAATTTGTAAAATATGTAATTTATAAAAACGTGTATATATATATATATATTTTACTGAAACTTGACTTACATATTTTAATTAATATAAAAAGAGGAAAGATACATATATAAAACTTGCTATACAACGTAAAACTTATTTAAATGCGCAATGTGTGTTATCGAAAAGAACAATTTAATGATAGAAACCAAAGATAAGTCACTGATAAAAGTTACACAAGTCTTAAAGACTTTAAAGACAATCTCCATTATATTAGACACTTTGCGTTAAAAAAGTTGAGCACAACAGCAGTAATTTGAACAGCTAATTTGAAACCTAAAAGAGAACTAGAAAACGCTATCGTCCCGCGTGTGGACCAAGAGTCGTTCTACATCGGGAAAGAAATTATTAATGCGAACTTTGTTGCAATGTCGCAATTATTACTATACGAACACATTCCTATTTACGATGTTGTAATGTAAAAAAACGACCACCCTGGAAAGCCCCTGGAGCTTCCCTAGTGGGAAATTGAAGCCCTTCGCGCGCGCCTCGGTATGTCCATTTCTTTCTCCACAGAAAACAAAACTAAACAAAAAATCATTATCCACTAAAAGCGCAAGTGTGATGTAAATTCCAGAAATGACGGACTATCTACAGCTGAGCGGATCCTCGCCACGCGGAGTCGAAGCCGCACGCCGTGTCCGAGTCCGAATCGTTCTGCTGGATACCGGGCACGACGTTGACGGACATCGTAGACGTCGGTCGACGTTGAACGGCCTGGTTGTTCAGTCGGCTGACCTTGCCCTGCAGCAACGGAGTGGTCGGCTGACTGGCCGCTTGCTGACCTCGCGACGGCCCGAAATCCTGCGCCCGCCGGCTCCTGCGCTTCTTGATGGGCGCGTACTTGGGCGGTGGCATCATCTTCTGGTCCAGCTTGGGAATCGCAAACGTAACATAGCGAGAGATTAGGACGAGACGAAGGGGAGATCGCACGCTATTATCGCGGACCGTGAGTGTCCAGGCGGTCCTTTTTGCCGGTCAACACGAGCGATTCGAATATATTTTTTCCCCGCTTGATCTTATCTCAAGAGAGAGAGAGAGAGAGAAAGAGAGAGCTGAGGTCACCACGAGAATTCCGTCGGTCCTCCAGCCGTGGAAGTCTGAGAATCCGGGAACGTTTCAGCGTCTTAAACTTTCTCGCGATGTCGATGTCGATCGGCAGCAATTAACGCGACGCGTTTTAAAATGTTCGCACGGGCTGCGCATCTAATCTGCGTATCTAAAATTAAGAAAGCCAAGCCGTATCTGCCGAAAGGCGGAACGAAAGGGATTAATAAATCTGACTGAAAACCAATCGACGATAGATTCGCTCGCACTCGCGGATGAGGACGGTCTTCGAAGCGCTCGTACGCAAAAATTCCGCAATCAGCGCACGGCTGAAAAGAGGAGACCGGCCGGCTGGCTCTCTCCAAGAGGCGCGATAAAAAAAGAGCGGCCGAGGGTTAATCGACGATAGATTACTCGCGCGCACCCGCGGCTTTATTGTCGCACCCGCGGTACCACCCGCGCGTGCGTACCTTTCCTCCGCCTTAGTTATTAGCAAAACGAGAGATCGGTACTTCCTGTTGGGGGAGCCCATATTACCGAGAACGTGCCGACGCGTCAGCCGGAGATACGGTGTAGCCGAGAAAATAATACCTGAACGTTATCCGCGGATCCCCACGACTTGTGGATCTTCTCGTTGTTGTTGCTGGCGGCCGTGTTGTTGTTGTTGTTGCTGCTGCTGCTGCTAGTTGCCACACCCAGGAACTGGCTGAAGGCTTCCGTCGTACGTTTCACGCGAACGTTCAACGAGCCAATTCGTAGGAAACCAAGATCTTTCTCTGTATATTCAATCAATCGCACGGTTACAGCGTCATTACCGCTCTCTCTCTCTCTCTCTCTCTCTCTCTCTCTCTCTCTCTCTCTCTCTCTCTCTCTCTCTCTCTCTCTCTCTCTCTCGTGACTGTTCTAGCCTCACACTTCAGACACGACTCGTGCAGCATGGCGGAAGAATATACACGCGGACCCACCCGGCTGCTGCTGGCTGCTTCGCGTATCTCACCGGTGGAATTTTTTATCGGACTGATCGGAAAGTTTCTTCAAATTTCCCGAGGTAAATAAACGGCGGAAATCCCCCGGAGGAACTTCCTGATCGACCCAGTGCGGCAATACGTTGACCGCCATGGGGAGACCAGCAGCGAACGACCACGAGCTATGACACTGCCGCGCGAGTCTCGTCAATGTACGCGTCATTAGTCGCAAAAGAAATTAAATACGCAGCCAATAGCGAGACGATGAAACGAGCTGGCGAATGCACGTGAATCTATTTACCGCGATTTCTCTCTGGTGACTCGAGCATATTGGGATAATTGATGCAAATCGATGTGGCAGTCAGCGTGTTAAAGATCACCGCAGATCCGACGGTGTTTTCTTTTTTTTTTCCGACGCGCGCACAAGCGTGTAACTGGCTGAAGCTCCCGTCGCGCGCTTCTTGTTGTCTTGAATCACGTTTATTGGTTAATTCGTCTAGACACGCGTTTAACACGCTCAAACGCATCAAGCGACGAGACTCAAGCGACGACACGAAGCGTGCGAAGAAAGCGCGCTCCGGCCAATTACGCGCCTATGTACTGTCACTCGGATTCGCGGTGATATCGCGTATAATGTTGCCGTAATTACACGCGCAAGTATACGTAAATGGAATCGATCGCAACGTGGGTCCGTCAAGAGGGAGACTCCGACTCTTCGACATGTTCTACGCAAAAGAGAGGTACTCTGGTCTATGGAGGATGTACAACTACGATGTTAATGTCTCTACTGGGCTCGTTGCTCTCTCGCATGCACGCTAAGTTAGTCCCTGCTCTAAAACGAAAGCCACAAAACGTCTGTCTTACCTGCATGCTTTTTCCTTGCTTTTATTTCTGAAAGAAAATAGAAAATCATTTTGTGAGACTGTCTCGCACAGGCAGCGGGAGATGGGGAGCAGCGTTGAAGTGAGTTGATCGCGAGCGGGTTAGCACAGAGTCACGTAGCGAGAAAGAGCGAGCGACAAGAAAAAGGACTCGCGGTTTTTTAGCTTACGCATATACGCACGCGCGATACCGATCGGAAAAATACATACTAATTACGCCAAGTCGCCGCATAATTGCACTCGAACGCAGCTATAGCTTCTGTTGAATGACAAATCTGAATTGAGCCCGGTAATAATTAATCGCAATCCTTCGTGCTCTCTCTCTCTCTCTCTCTCTCTCTCTCTCTTTCGTTGCGTGTGTTAGCTGTCGAGTATGCGTATCTTCTCGCGCATCGCGATATAAGTAATTATTCCGTACAGTTAATGAAGGTTCAATCAGCGTCGTATACGGGAGAGGATAGACGGGAGGGCTCGGGGGGAGATTAGTGACGTGTCAGAAGTTAGCCCAACAATGTATCTGCTACTTTCCCTCTCGAGAATTACACGTTCTGTCGTTGCTGCTTACGAGAAAATCAAGAGAACCGTGATGATAATAATAATCGTGCGGCGCGATTGAAACGTGACGCTGAGAATCGACCGAAGCGGGATATCTGCTTCTCATGCCTGACTGGCGTGCATGCCTTGTTCATGTGCCACAGTAACAACAACAGCAACAACAACAATAACAATGTATCACACACGCGCGATGTATTTAACGCGCGCGTTGAAAGGAATTAAAGAAAAAAGAAAAAAAAAACAGAAGTAACAGCAGCGGCGATGTGAAACGAAGTATCTTATGTAACAAATGCATTGAGCAACGGAGAGAGAGAGAGAGAGAGAGAGAGAGAGAGAAAGAGAGAGAGAGAGAGAGAGAGAAAGAGAGGGATATTCTCGTTCTTTTAATTGCAGACACGTCAACGCGTATCTCTTTAAACTCTCACGATACGCGGACGCTCTGCAGGTTTAAGAACCGTCGACTTCGTTTCACAACCTTTCGCCGGAAGTGCAGATATCCGAAACGGAAGAATGTACTACTGCCACTTTGATGATTCTTTCGTCTTTTGTAACGGCGCGTTGCACGCGCTCGCGTTGTTGCTAGTATTTTTTGTACGCTCATTATGTATATTTCGCGATCACCGCGTATGATTAAGAAAAGGTAAGAAGAAGAGAAGGAAATATGCATTATTCTGTCGTCACGTATAAATACATGGCCACGTTGTTGAAAAAACGTTGTTGTTAGAAAACGTAATGAAGCGTCGTAAAAAAAAAGAAAAAAAAAGAAGAAAAGAAAAAAAATACCATTTTGCGGAAGCGTTACTCCACGTATTGAACATAGCGTTACACAATGGAGACGGTATTTCACACAGAACGACGCGATTCTTGACCGTTTAGTTCCAGCGAGAACCGCGGCGTAGTGATGGAGAAATGCTCGCAGCGAGGCTCTGTGGGGCATTTCCGCACATCCGACTAACAGACGTTACACTGATTCAGCGACAGGAAAGCAACGGGCGAACGAATGCAGCCCCTCGAAACGCCAGCCGAGCGAAGACACGAGGACGTCGAAAACAGCTTCGCCATCTTTGCACGTCTCGTCTTCTCTCTGCTGCCGCGCGCGCGGCTTCGGATCGGAATGAACGATACCGTCGAGTGACACACTCTTTCTCCCTTCTCGATCATACTCACGTCGTCATTGCGTAGGAAAAGTGACAGTCGTACGTTACTCTAAGGTGCGCCTACTTAAATCTTGCGACACCAAAGCGCTTTACTACTTTAGCGGTGGTGCGCTTCTGAACTTGCCTGTGCGTAGCGGCAGCGGTAATCCCTACAACAGAAGAATACTTCCAGGACCCTGACGAGAGAGATCCATCCGTGCACGCAATCACGCCGCACACAAACACACCGGAGAACAGTGCCCGTCGACGACGGTATCTCTCCCAATATCCCGGCGTGCAACGCTACAGCTACGTATTTGCGCCTTGAATCTACGTGCGAAGCAGGTCCCGGAAGTACAGGTGTAATTTCCACAGATACCCCAGCGGGAGGAAGACAAGGAGAAAGAGTTGCGTGCGTGTTAAGCGGAGAGGATGGTCCTCCCTAAACTCCTCCCGGCGAAATTCCGCTCGTCGGAAATGGAGCGACAGCCGAGAGTCGCTCCGATTCGAGCGGTCTACTCGCAGAGCGAATTCTGAATTCGTCGAGAGCGACTGTTTTTCTTCTTCTTTCTTCTTTTTTTTTACTTAAGATTCAAGAATGCGCTCGCAGTTGGCTCAGTGAGGCTCCTTTCACTTCGCGACGTCTCGACCGATCTTCTTCGGTGGTGAACAGCCCTCGTTCCGAGTGAGAGAAAGCGCGCTTCGAGAAATTTAGAGAGGTCACGAGGCAAGTTCTAGCGCGAGAATCAACCCACTGGATCGGGACGGCGAATATTAATTTCAGCAACCGTTCAGCCGTGCGAGAGCAAGAGGAAGACACCGCGCAACGCGCGATCGGACGCGACAACGCGGTGGAAATGGCGGCGGGTATCTAAGGGACACATCTCTACTCGTGCGGAGGGTGCAACTGCTGGACACTAAACGGCGTCGTCAGCCACGGCGCGTCATGCCATCAGCAGGCACGAGGAAGTCGGGAGGTGGTGGTTACGAACGGAGCGTGGCAGGCGCGGAAGAAAAGCGACTTACACGAAGCGAGCTCGACTCTGGAACGAACAACAACAACAACGGCGAACAATGATCGACACGCCATCGGGGGCGAGGGCGGGCATAATAAGTTGGACGGAAACGGAACTTGGGGACGCTTAAAGCGGTGTGTAAATTATCGGTGCACCTCGCCGGCGGTAATTGGTTTTACCGCGGCGAACTCGAGCGAGCGGAGGTCACGCGCGTCGCCGCCGCGGGTAATATAAGCCGGTGAATTCGTTCGGAAACTTTTCCAAGCGACGATTACGTCCTTTGTTTCCACGTTATGCTAACTACCGCCTCTCCGTTAGCGTGTGTCCGCACAATCTCGCACGGGAGGCAGAAAGAAAGAGGGAGAGAGAGAGAGAGAGAGAGAAAACGAAAGAAAAAAAAAGCAGGCACCACGTCTAATGTATGCAGAAAAGAAAAAAAAGAAGAAGAACAATTCCCGCGAGGTCAATCTCATCGCGGGCGAGTCTCGCGCGGATTGGGAGAGATCGGAGGAGGGGCGGGTGTATTTCCGCGAAACTCTCGCGAGCGACTTTAATGCGAACGGAAACGGGGATAAACGTCACCGCGTCGCGATCGTAAATTCGATGAAGAATCATCCAGGATCATAAGGACGGCGTTTGCGTCTCCATTCGGCTACAAATCACGTACCTCTCTCTCTCTCTTTTTCTCTCTTGCTCTCTGCCTCTCCTCTCGCCTCTCAGCGAGGGCAATACTTACTGCGGAAAGTGTCCTGGCTGACCGCCGCCTCCTGCGACACCAAGTATTGCCTGGCCTTCTTGCCGCTGTGGTCGCGGATGTCCTGATTCGCGCCTGCAAAAAGCAAAAGTTCCGTCGTGCGATGCGACACTCGCGCGTCACTCTTCTTCGTCGCGGCCGATCGCGAATCGTCTTTCTTTGTTCGTTTCTTTTATTTTCGTTACTTCGAGTACGAGAAAGAGCGCGTCTACTCACCGTACACCTGAACCAGCAGATTGAATATGTTCTCGTGATCGAATTGCATGGCGATATGCAGCGGCGTGTAACCCTGGAAAAACGACAGCTCTCTCGATACGCGATTTCGGGACAGGTGCGCAACATTTTGGAGCGCGTTTAAGAGAATTCGCGATATCTGCCATCTCCTCGGGCGTACGTCAGCTCCACACACACACACACACACATACAAACACACACACACACACACACACACGCATACATACATACATACATACACGCATATCCGCACACTCACGTGGCGTTTCAGACGCACTTATATCAATTATCCCGACGGAGGAGCAAGGAGAGCGTATCGATAATTAGTCGAATTAAAAGGCGAACGGTATCCCCCCGTTTGATGAGCATGTAATACCACGCGAACACAATGTTTACGTGCTTTCACGTTGTCGCAAGTTGTGTGTATTAATATATTATACGTGCGGTCTACTACAGTTTAATGAATAATGTATCTCTAATTGTATACGCACACACACACACACACACACACACACACACACATACCTCCCCTACGCTCCGCCATCGTTTCCGGCGTCTCGGTGCAACGAGGATATGCCAATCTCTCTATCCCGTCGGAAGGAAATCATAATAAGGTAGATGAAAAAAATAATAGACAGAGAAAGAACGAGAGCGGGCCCCCATATCACACCTACCGGCGCGTTGCATATCTTATTATGATTTGCTCGAGTGCGTGATGCGAGTGAGACTTTTACGCCGATGCGTCCGGCGAAGGCCAGAAAGAGGAGAGACGCAACGGGACTGAGCGAGTGAGCGAGGGAAGAGAGAGAGAGAGAGGGAGAAGGAGACGCGGAAAAAAGAGGGAAGGCAGAGAGCGGTGCCGCCGTCGCAGAGACAATGAGTAATTAATGGCATCGTATTATGAATATCACCTCGACCGTGCGAATTCGCATTTCCGCGACAACCGCGCGATCCGAAACAATCGCGCGCGCGAGAGTGCGCGTGCGTGTGCGTGAGGGACGGCGAAACGCGAAAACTAGCCTCGCGTGCATCAGCCCCATCTCTCCCTCCCGCACGCATGCACTTTCATCCGGCTCTCTTCGTGCGGATCTCTTCGTATCTCTCCGTTCGGGCACAATGCGCCCGGCAGATAACGCGCCGGCTCGGCGGAGACAGGTGGACTGCGTGTCGTCGCCCGACATTCGACAGCGCAGGTAAAAAGGAAAAAAATTGACGATTATCTCCGATCGAGAATGAGAGAGAGAGAGAGAGAGGAAGAGGGGGAGGGGGAGGGGGAGGATTTTTCTCGATCGACCAACAGTGATTTACGGAAAATACGCCTCACTTCGGATCCGTGATTCTTCTTAGCATTCGAGACGCACGCGCGCGCGTAAACGAACGATCGACGGTGAATGTGAATGTAATTAAATGTGAATCTAATTAAAACCGCGTGGCGACCTGACGAGCCGCGCTAAATTATGCGCGAGCCGCGAAATGAAATCGCCAGGGACGAGTGCGTCGGTTCGCAGGCGTGTTCCTGCGAGCGACCGGTTATAGCTACTTGCTTTCGTCGTTGCTCGCTCGCGAGACGTCTTTATTAACGCGCCGGCCGAGTTTCATTAAGAAAACGATATCTCGGGCTGATCTGCGGACTTCCGTGGGCCCTCGCCGCTCGCGTTTTCGTCGCTTCGCGAGCTGCGACAACCGCCCCGGGGCGTCGGCTTGTGCGCAGCGCGTTTGTCGCGATGGTAGAAATATGAAGAGAGCGTTATCTCGCAATTAGTATCGTTCGGTAGACGGACGGGCAGGTGAAAAGACTGCTTTTCCAGCGCACGCCAAGGCAACAGCTGCCGCTCCGGGCTCTCCCGCTTTTACCGCGATAAATACAATGAGCGAAGCCGATCGCGGCCGACGATTCAATACATATCGCGCTCCTTCATTATGCGCGCGCGCGCGCGCGAGCCGTTAAGATCCGTCAAGATCGAATAATTCGCGCCAATTTCATGCCAGGATTCGGTAATCCGCGGAATTCGACCTCGTGTCGATTCACGATTTGCCG